CTCCTCGGAATAGCGACCTATGATAAATCACAAATAAAAAATATAATGATTTGACCTCACTTTGCCAAGGCGATAGGCCTGCCATCACTCTACCAGAACATCAACGTTTGTATGATTCACTACCTCATGAGGACCAGCCATAAATGTTTTTGTTTGAAATCATCTTCTTATTTTTGTTCTGTATTATCCTTGAGTTGCTTGAGTATTATTTACATCTGAGAATAGTGTTTTTTTATTTAATCTAATTTTATTCCATATGGAGTGAAAGGCGTATCTTCAAACCGCTAGACTATTGTAATTGTCAAGGTTACCGCAAAGAGGCGTATCTGGAAAAAAAAATGTAAAACATGTTTAGCTGAGAATATGAATTTCCTTTCCTCTATATACTTCTCATAAGATAATGAACACACTTTTTAGCTATGTTATTGGAAGACATTATGCTCATATTGTCTAAAGTAGTAAAGATATATGAAATCAAATAACTGTCGATATTCATTTTGCTTCTACTGAAAATTCATATAAAATCAGTTACGCCTGTTTGCGGTACGGACGACGTGTGTGTAAAAATAAAAAAAAATGTTACCTTGTTTTATAAAGTATCCTCCCGACAAGTATTTCAGTGCGGACCTGTATTTGATCGTGCGGTCTTGGAGCACCGGCATGCCCTACCCTGTGAGGTCTTAAGTCACCTGATTCACGAGCCCTTTGTACTACATTAACAAAGGCCGCGGCAGCATTTTGTAAAGACTTCCCCCCCTCCGTAAATAAGAATCATGTCCACAAGTTCAGCATTTTCGTAAACATGTGCCATTTTTTATTTCGTTTGAGCCACGCAACAAACACCACTATTCACTCACGCGTTACCGACTGACACATTGACTGAATACAAGTGAATAAAATTGTAGCAAAAACATCGTGATAAGCGTTTCAAATTCTTTCGCTTTTTTGTTTCCGATGCGATGAACCGATAAGGCGGATTATATCCGTTGTTGCCAAGCACGAGCAGATAATATTATTATTGAGACAGGGCGGTACTCAAACTTCTAAAGGGCTATAACTTTGTTACTTCAATTTTACCACAAAAATGTTAAAGGAAAAAAACATTTCTTTTGATCAGATCTACTCACTGTTAAAATAAATGACTCAACTTCGAAGTCACCCTGTATATGTCACTAATTTATATTGTACGAATTTTTGTATTTATTTATGTAATGGGAAGTCCGGGAAGTATTTCCTGCATGTAATTCTCAAATTATCTCTTTAGAATGCACGAAACGTTTCCAGTTGTACTAAAAATAGTTATCAATATGCACAACTATTAAAATAAACTTATTTTAATTCTTGCCCCTTTCGCTATCATTTCTTATGTTCCAGATAACAAATACATTTGCATTACTCTAGAGACTCTAGACCCAGATCATAAAACACCATATGAACCTTCACCCATACTTCAAAACCAGCATTTTACTCCATACTCCAGGCAGATTACCGCCAAAAAACCCTAGGTAGATATTTTCTAAAGTAGCTGAGGTTTCTTTCAGGACACTACGTATAACAATATCGAGATGCGCCAGTCTGCGGAAACCGGTAAAAAATAGAAAAAGCGATTCTTGCTGGTACTATTCTTACGTTTCATGTTATATCTTGAAAAGCAGTGACTTCAGAGTAGAACAGAAAAGGACTTTTTGCACAAAGATGGCTTAAAAATTAAGCACGTCTCACGATCTAGCTAGGTAATGTTTACACTAAGATACAGCAATATAACATTTTCTTGGGAAAAAAAAGCCAGCCTTGGTTTTAGATTACTCACATTTGTACATGGTGTCGTGTTATTGAGACACATAGCAAAATCACAATTTTTTACAAACTACTCTATTTTTTGTATCATATTTGGATTGATCCAGAAAAGATCAAAATGTTTTTTAAATTCCATGTTTCTAAGCGATTTTCGCACTACGTCAGTCATGCGCATATCGAATTCATGTTATATAAGGCGGAAACTAGTTGAGAAAATGAAAGTCAAAAAATCGCAATTTTTGCTTGTACTTTTCCTGTTTTATATTATTCAATGTAATGGTTTCAAAGCAACACCGACAAGGACTTTTTTACTTGTTTCAATATAGCTGATACATTGTTTTATAATGTTACATGAAGAGGACATAGTAAATTCACCGTGAAAAATTAAGCAAAACTTTCAAACAACGCGAAGAATATTTGCACAGATAGTTATAAGTATACTAAGTGACATATAAATCCGAACACCCAGTTTGAATGGTTTTATTTTAATAAAAGTTGGTGAATGTATTTATCTTACTGTAAATAACAAGTGAAAAAATTTTCAGCCTTATCAGTTGGACATTCCGGTTTTTAAACTGCTTTTTTTTAATTCACTAACGCTCTAAAAATCAATATTTCAGCCGCAGTAAAGAATCAACGTTGGCGGATTTTGGTTCTTGACATCCTTTACGATCGGTTACGATGCCTAGAATACGGAGACCTGTACGATTTCATCAACTTAGTGAGTTTGATAGGGGCCGTATAGTGGGACTTCGGGAAGCTGAACTTTCTTTTCGGGCAATTGCAGTTAGTTGGCAAAGAAGTGTAGACACTGTGGTTAGGTGTTGTCAGGCATGGCTTCGAGAAGGCCGTACGCAAAGAGCAAGGGGCACTGGACGCCGCCGTAGAACAACAGACCGTGAAGATCGCCGCCTAAGATTATTGGCCTTAAGGGACCGTTTCTCCACTACCAGGTCCATTGCAAATGAATGGTTTGCAGAACACGGAAGACCTATTGGCATGCGAAGTGTTTACCGACGAATGAGAAGTTTTGGCTTGTTTTCATACCGGCCACACTGGGTCCTCCCTTTAACTCGAGAACACCGACGTAATCGCCTTGAGTGGTGCAGACAACGGTCACTCTGGGATCAGGAATGGAACAGTATTGTCTTTAGTGACGAGTCTCGATTTTGTTTAGGCATGCACGATGGTCGTGCCAGGTTAGAAGGCGACGTGGTGAAAGGAGGAATCCACAGTTTTTTGTTGAAAGACGTGTTCATCACACTGTTGGAGTTATGGTTTGGGGTGCTATAGCTTATGGTTCCAGGTCACCTTTAATCTTCATCAGAGGTAACATGAACGCGCAGCGTTATATCCACGAAGTTCTAGAACCTCATCTTTTACCCTATCTTGACACCCTGGCAGATCCAACTTTCCAACAAGATAATGCCCGACCACATGTTGCAAGAGTCACAATAGACTTCTTTCAACATAATGATGTCACATTGTTACCATGGCCACCAGGATCTCCCGACTTATCCCCAATTGAGCACGTGTGGGATATGATGGGTAGGAGATTGCTCAATTTGCAACGTCCTCCGCAGACTCTAGCAGCACTTCGAGAGGAGTTGGTGGTTGCCTGGAATGAGATACCACAGGAGGACATTGACCACCTGATCAGAAGCATGCCTAGGCGAGTTGGAGAATGCGTAGCACATCAGGGTGCATCCACACATTATTAAAGGTCAAAATTTTTATCATTTACTTATGCTTCATTAAGTACTTATACAAAATTTTATTAAAATTAAACCATTTAAACTGGGTGTTCGGATTTATATGTCGCTTAGTACAGTTCCATTAATTTGTCTATATCATCATAATACGATTTACCCAAATCAAATTACGCATTTATGAGCAAATGTGATCAATATTGGATCATTGGGAAATCACGATAAGGTGATATTCAGGCACAGGTATTGCATATCTTGAAAAGTGACATTATGTCGATTTTTTTGACATTATATTGTTTTTTTGTGACATTATGCAGGTTTTACTGCAAGATGTTAACTTAGCACTAGCTGATGGACACGTTGTGAACTCCTTTTGTAGTTGTACGTGCTGCTCTGATGTGATGTAAAATCTGCTTCAGAGATGGCACTAATGGAGGTAACGGCAATGCATAGGTGCATAGTGAGGATTTGTGTGCTAATAATATGTGTTGATGATAATTCCATTGGGTTCTTGTCTCAAATACGCTTACTTGAGATTCAAAGCTAGACATAAGTTAGGCATCTGCTTTTTCTTATCCACTCTGGAAATCACATATGCAAATTTGCTGAATTTCAAAAATGAGAGTGAGATAAGAAATAATTATATTCACTGTACACTGTCAAATTATAAGTCATATACATGCAGCACAACAGTAATTACACACAACGCTGCGCGTTAGTTTTTTCCCGTAATTCTCCTAAAAATTTTTGAGAACACAAAAACACGTAGAAAATCGTAATTTATAACTTTGAATGGACAACATATAAATAACCTGCCGTTTGGCAGCATATTCAATAATAATTTTCTCACACAGCAAATATCACTGATTTTATACACATGCAGAGAAAAAAACCACAATCATCCAGATGCGATCTTGCTATTCAACGAACTGTTTTCTCAGAGATGAAAACTATAGACTACTCAGTTTCGCAAAACATATGCAACTAACAATGCGTGTAGTCGAGTCATTCCTCCATAGATGGACGCTCACAACGATCCTAGTTAGCAAACGTGGACTGACTGTTTGCACGCTAAAATCTACCCAGTCTGCAAGATGGCGTTTTTTTTTATGTTTCATAGGCTTTTTACATGATACCCGTGCGGTTCTCCAAATTGCATGGCGTTCTCAAGTCGTTACGCAGATATGACGTTTATATTGCTTTGGATGCATTATATGGTAGATGTCACAGCTTGCCGACTTCAAAATGCATAGCACGTATTTTAGTTTTCTCTTGAAATTTTGGGTATATTTAGTTGACTTCTAGTGAATCAGATTTATTTTTCTCTACTCATTGGCAAAGTCTTTTGGCCATAACATACAATAGATTTCTTAGAATCCTCCATTTTTTGCGTATCTGTACAAATGAATCAGAGGTTCTAACATGGGACGCCCTTTTCTTCCGATTTCATGCTAGGTGCAGATACCCCCACTGGAAGAATAACAACTACCCAAATTAGAAATAATCACTTTATTTTTCACAGCTAATATTTCCCCAAGTAAATTATCTACTTTCTTAGGTTTTGTAGCCTAGGTGCTGACAGTTTCACCTTTCCAGGAATATTTCTAGCCAGTTGCTCATCCTTAACAGCTTTTAGAAGGTCTCTTTCCCTTGGTGTGACTGTACGCTCTTTAAGGAACATCGCCACAGCTGTTTTAGCAGCTTTACCTCGCTTCCCTGTACCTGGCGTCAACTTTACCTTGAATCTAAAAAATAGAGAATTTTGAGTTTTATCCAAAAAGTAATGCCTGTGTACTGAATCATGTAATAAAAATGGATGATGTAAAGGGTGGGCCATCTATCGGTTTCGATTTGAACCACGTGTTAATTTGACGCTGACAATACTTATGTCAATCTGATTTGTCATAAAATTCAGTATATTATCTCCGCTGAACGAAATGAATCGATTTACGCTTGAGCAACGTTGGGTAATATTGGAAATTTATTTCCAAAACAAAGACAATTGGGCAGAAATTGCACGAAAATGCCGTTCAAAATTCGGTCGCAACGAAGCACCAACAGCGCCCGGTATACGCAAGTTTATTAATAAAGTGCGTGAAACTGGTTTCATTGTTGATGCTCCAACACGTCAGCGTGCTCGTACAGTGCGTACACCCGAAGGTATCGATGCTGTGGCTGCGAGTGTGCGTGAAAATCCATCAACGTCAACACGTCATCGTTCCCAAGAATTGAACATTTCCCGCACCAGTTTACGACGAATTTTGCGGAAAGATCTCGGTATGACGCCTTACAAAGTTCAATTGGTTCAAGAGTTGAAGCCGCGTGACCATCCACTTCGTTCTGCCTTCGCTACATGGGCCAACGAGCAACTAATCAATGATGTCGATTTTGCGAAAAAAATAATCTTTTCAGACGAAGCTCATTTTCATATTGGTGGCTACGTCAATAAGCAAAATTGCCGTATCTGGGGCTCGGAAAACCCACACGAGGTCCTAGAGAAGCCAATGCATCCCTTGCGAGTGACTGTTTGGTGTGGATTGTGGAGCGGAGGCATCATTGGCCCATATTTCTTTGAAGACGGGGACGGCGCAACCGTTTCTGTCAATGGAAACACCTATCGCACCATGATAACTGATTTTTTTGTTCCTGCTCTTGATGGTATTGATGTGGAGAATGTTTGGTTTCAGCAGGATGGTGCAACTTGTCACACATCGCATGCCACAATCAACTTATTGCGCGAAACCTTCGATGGCCGTTTAATCAGTCGAAATGGTGATGTCAATTGGCCGCCAAGAAGCTGCGATTTGACACCATTGGACTATTTCCTGTGGGGCGCTGTTAAAGACAAGTGTTATGTCGACCATCCAGAGACAATTGACCATTTGAAGGCCAACATTCGTGATGCCATTGACGAGATACGGCCCCAAACACTCGAAAAAGTGCTCGAAAATTGGTCCGATCGAATGGGCTACTGTGAGGCCAGCCGCGGCAGCCATTTGAATGAAGTAATATTTCATTTCTGAGCGGAACAATTGTACTTCAAAACAAAAAAATAAATTTGGCAATATCTCAAACCGTTTTTGTTTTATTTTATTTTTAAATCGAAACTTTTAAATGGCCCACCCATTATAAATTATGTAATGTAGAAAACATTTCATTCATGATTTTTTTTAAATCAGCAGATTCACAAAACTGTAAGAAAATGAATGAAAAAATGAAAAATTGATTCTTTGAATAAAAAGCTGATTGCTTACTTGTAATTAGATAGTGTATTGTATGGAGCAACTACAGGCACCGCAAACAACAACTCATCTTCAGTAACAGGAATACCAGTCAAAGAATCAATCATATCAACGTCAGCTTGAACGGTAGGTTCCTCATCATCCCCTTCTTCACCTGGCTCCTTGGGAACCACAGGCCTTGGTTGCCTGGGTTCTTGTTTCCTTTTCACGTCAGAGGAACCGTCTTTGTTTTTCTTATTCTTTTTGTTGTCTTTGGACGAACCGGAAGACTGTAAGATATCCATCCTCAATTTCCTCTCTTCGTCATCTTGATCTTTATACTTTTCTTTGATCTTCTTCAGTTTGCTTTTTTGGCCTCTTTTCTGTTGAATCTGTTGCTGTTTGGATTCTTTAAACTCAACTAAAATGATATGTCGAAATTAAAAATCTAACCTCATGTTTTGATTACTATTTATCGTGACAAACATAAAAAACTGGTAAGATGTTTATTTTTGGATCACATATGCGACTTGTCTAATCAGCAATAACAAACATATTGTCATGTTTGCCATAAGGGTAAATGTATTTATTTAAATATATAGAAGAAAATATTTATCTCGGAATAAAAAAAAGTCATTGCATTCATACCTTTTTTATCCTGGTCCTTAGGTTTTTTATTTTTAGATTCGCTATTTCCTCTACTTTTAGAGCCCTTTGAAGTTACAATAATAGGCTTGTCGTCTCCTAAGTAAATTACATTGTCGATATCTTCATCTTTCAATTTATTCCCAATATTTGAAGGCTCCGTTAAGATGTTAATCCTTGAATTTAAAAGATGAAAAAAATAGTAATGTTTGCATACTGCGCCAAAAGATGCATTTTCTAAATATTCCAATTTTGCACCAATATTCACTTACTTTGTGCCAGCAAAGTGCTGAATTTTTATTTGAGTGTCAGGAAATTTTGCATCCTCCTCATCATCATCATCACTGGATTTTTCTGGATGATCTTTAGACTCCTCTGTTACATCTTCTTGAATATTTTCCTCCTTTTCGGGCTTACCTGCTGAATTTTCTTTATCAGCAGCATCTGTCACTGTTGTCTCTTCTTTGGTTTCCTCTTCTTAAATTGAAATATTAATATTACATCAAAATGTAACATTTTCATGGAGTAGTACCAATACTTCTTAATTTTTTTCATTATTTCTGAATGCCCATTGCATGACTTACCATCACTCTCATCCAATATCTCCACCTCGACCTCATCCTTGCTCTGTTCACTAGCCTCAATACCTAGAGCATCTTCTTCATTTTGAGTTAACACCTTTCTTTCTCCCAAATGCCTTTCAACGCAGCCATCTTCCAAACGGAAGAGAAACCCTAGTCCCAATATCAAATGGGATGGAGGAAGAAAGTTTTTCTTTCCTCGGATCATGAAACTACCTGTTGATAGGTACTCTCCAGTGGGTGCGGTTTTCGTCACTTGGTTACCCCACACCCAGTATGCGTTTGTCACCACTTTTGCATCCCAAGCTACACTAAAATGTAAATCAAAATACAGGCTGTTTGGTGTATCGTTTGCCAAATTGAAATGGCGAACAGGGGAGGTCTTTTTCAATCTTCTATCACCCCAGGTCCCTCAAACAGTTTTTAACCCAACGGCATTAATTATGTAGATTTTTTATTTTTTTTTTAGTAAAAACTCCAAAATGTAATACAAGTGGGTGATGTACCAATCTTACAAAATCAACATTACTTGCCAGCAGCATGTAGTTTTTTATTTATTAACTCACAAAGGGTTACAAAGAAGAACAAAAAAATGTAAGTCTCAATTTTGAATGTCTGTAAAAACAAAGTAAAAGCGTTCACGTTCTTAGAATTCTTTTAAAAACTACTCTAGTTTATCCCGATTCTAATGGTATGCCACAAGTCACAAAAAAGTCGAAATAATTTCTTGAATTTGCAAATTTTGTGTCTGTCCGCCATTTCAATTTTTCAAAAGATGCACCAAACATTATATATACCTTCCAATTTGGAAAACGTTCAAATCAAAATAAACTGTCAGGGTATAGTGACACCGGAGTGTCGAGTAAATAAGACTAATGCTGTTTACTCACAAACAGATGTCGAAGGGGCCGAGGCTGACGAGAGGTTACATGGATTTCAAAATCGCAACGCGCATGCAGTTTTCCCGCTTGAGTCGCGTAACAGAGTATCTACACCTGTATGTCACACATGGACGAGAAAACCGCACATAAATGGTGATTTTTACCAGTGGCGGAAATAGGGATCTGTCTAGCGAGGCGCAGTCTCCACAATTCAGGTCTGGTAAAGAACATGTCACACCAGAATGCAGCAATATCTCATCATTCTATTGTAAATGAATAAAATAAAAAATGCTTTTTTAAAAAAAGGCTATAAATTGAACCAAAAATTTAAAAATATTTTTTCCGATTGGAAGTATTTAAACCATAATGAAGCTCCAGCTCAAGTCTTCAAATAAAAGCGTGTTATACCCTTTTCCATCTTCCTGTCAAAACTTAACACGCTTTTATTTGAAAACTTTAGATGAAGAAGCTTCATTATCGTTTAAATATTTCCAATCGGAAAAAATATTATATATAAAAGCTTGCTTATTAAAATGCTTTTATTTTATTTTTGACTTTTTAGTATTTATGATGTCAAATAACTAGTTTGATAATGTTTATATAATCTTCATTTATTTCATTATTAGGACTCTATAAAACTTCTTACTCTATTTGCATTATAAAATTTCGATTGATATATCATATAATGATAAATCGATATTTTGGGGCGATCGACATACGGAATTTAGAACGAAGTTATTTGCTTATTGTGTTCATCACATTAAGCCCTTTAATTTGATACATGTATCACAGGGCTAGTTACAAACGCCATATTGGGGCGCCCGCTATATTGGATTTAGATTAGGTCACTTTGTCTATTGAGTTTCTCTCATCAAACTATTTCATTTGATATCCATATCATAGAAGTGACTGTGAAAACTGTAAATCGCCATTTTGTGGCATCCGCCATGTTGGATTCAATATAGAGGCGGTTAATTCATTTTGTATTGTCACTTTAACATGTGTACAAAATTTCAGCTCAATTGGTTAAGGTTAAACCCGTTAAAACCGCCAATGATTTTGACACTCATGCAAGGGCTCATCAGTTCTCGATCTCTGCGAAATCCTTATGTGAGTGAGCAGCAGATAACAAATTATCTGCCCCACACAAATTTGAAGGAGGTATCAATATTTTGAAATGTGCATTTATAAAAAAAGTGTACGAAAAATGCAAAAAATGAACGTTGGCGTGAGGATCCAATAACTTACCGTTTATGTGGTTTTAAAGAAACTTTATTGTTTCAAAAACTATTAATAGGGCTCACATCCGCTGATGCGAATGACGATGCGAGTTTTGAGATAATAAAAACGCTAATATAGGTGCAAAATAAAATATTTTTTCAATGTTTTGACGTATGCTGCGAATTTATAAAAGTGTGCCGAGTCACTACGCTTTGACGCAGAGATCCCCAGTTGCTTTGCCTTATTTGAAAGTAGACTGATATATTCAATTTCCTTTGTGGAATGTCTGTTTCCACAATTGTTTAAAAAAGAGCTTATTCTACAAAAACGAACTTTATATATAATTAAAAGCAATCCTAGAGCTACATGCATGCTTTTATTTCCAATGACCGTCGGAGTATTGTTCAATTTAGAAAGGGCAACTCTAATTTATAAAAATAAATCTAAATATGAAACATCAAACATAAGTTACGAAAACATGATCTAAATTAGTAGTACCTAAATTGACATTTGTGAAAGACTCAATAATTTATAATCGTCCGAAAATTTGCATGTTTCTCCCTGGTGTTATCAGAAGAATCAACAATTTAAAGATATTCCCCTGTGAACTTAAAAACTTTCCAAAATCTAAACCATATACCATGTGAAAGTTCTATAATTCATTTACTCAGAGCACACATCCAATTTTGTTATTGTTTAGTTTGAAGTTAACTTTGCCATTAAACAAGTTTGTATTCTTCAGACAATAAAGGATAATTATCTTTCTATTTATCAGTGGCAAGCTGTAAATTTTTCCCTCATATATTGTATAAACAGAACAAAATGTAGTGAAAATATAGTATGACTTACTCATCAAGTATAGCTCAAATTTCACAGAACTGTTTTAACGAGTAAGAACAAGTGATATCATGCGGTAACCGAAAAATCAGGATTTCAAGATACAATGTCACTGCTTAACTGCCTCCCGACGCCCACCTGGTAATGACTCAAAACACTTCCATAAATTTCTAGTACAGTTACAGTTCAAGAAAGGCTGAACTGGTCAGTTAAACATTCAATCGTAGTGGCGATAAAAATCTATGCAATAGTGGTGATAGTATTTTTTTTGATGTATGCGCCACCGTGCGATGAATTATTATATTAAGATATCAATTCCTTTTTCAGTGTAACTACCGCAATCCCACGGCATCTACAGTACATCCACATCGATAAATAATGCGTATATAAATTTAGCCTCACCTGTAACAGATGGCCATAGTTCCAGCTTCATTCAGCGTCTTTGGAGGTACAGGCTGACCACTTGGGTTCTTTATAACCACGCTACTGGCTCCATGGATATCAGCATGGACATACACGTCATTTGGTTTCATGTATCTGAAAAATAATCAATTCACAATAATGATAAAAGAAATACATATAAGGAAGTGAAGAGTACTTCACCCATCATTTTATTTATTTTTGTATACTGCCCTAGATATTTTACTAGCAATAAAAGGTAAATATTACCTCTTTACTATTAATTCGTTTTGTTGCTGGTCTCTACCTGCAATAACGAGGTAATTCTCGGAACTGATGAACCAGAAAAACTTTTCAAACCAATACGTCTTTCTGGCTTTGTTAATGTTTGTTATGGTCTGCACCTCTTTCAGAGTCTGTTTTGTTTTCTTTTCAGCATTTTTCAAGGCTTTAGATTGCGATTCCAACGTTTTTTGTTGCTTCTTTGCTGCAAACCTTTTCTTATCATAGTACCTGAAGATAAATTAAACCGACTATAGACTGAAAATGAAGAAGTTGAGCAACAGTTATAACAAGATGCAAAAAAGCTTATGAAAAAAAACATGCATAGTGTATCAAAAGTAAACTAAATCTAAAGGGTTGTCCAATAGGGACGCAGGAAAGTAAACGTCAATTTGACATAGACGCCATCTTTGGTTTCTGTCACCGACATGTCATTTTGTTAGTTGAATGTTTACCATCGATCGCTATGGAGTCGTATTCGATTGAAGACCGCATTAAAGTTATTCAAGAGCACTACAAAAATGGTGCAAAAATAAAAAACACGTTTCGCGCGCTTCGTGAACATTTCGGTCGCAACAACCGCCCAAACGAAACAACCATCGGTCGTCTGGTGCGTAAATTCGAGGCGACAGGTTCTGTGGCAAATCTGCCAGGCTCTGGCCGGCCAAGGAGCGTTCGCACACCGGAAAATATTGCTGTTGTGAAGGAGAATGTGAGAGACGATCCGAAACAATCAACAACGCGTCGATCCCAAGAATTGGGCATTTCGAGAACCAGTTTGCTCCGCATTCTCCACAAGGATTTGAATGTACACGCCTACAAGATCCATTTGACGCAAGAGCTGCGTCGGGCCGACCATTTTTCGCGCCGAACGTGCTCAGATTGGCTCCTTGAACACCGCCAAATTGATGCCAATTTTTCATCAAAAATCATGTTCAGCGACGAAGCGCATTTCACTTTGAATGGGACGGTAAACAAGCAAAACTGACGCATCTGGACGAACGAAAATCCCCGTGAGTATCGAGATGCATCCTCAAAAAGTGACTGTGTGGTGTGCATTGTGGTCAAAAGGCATCGTCGGACTTTACTTTTTCGAAAATGCGGCCGGGGACGCCGTTACCGTCAATTCTGAGCGATATCACGTGATCATAGAGGACTATTTTTTGCCGCAACCTGAAGGAATGGATATGGACGATGTTTATTTCCAACAAGACGATGCAACATGCCACACAACCAACGTCAATATCCATCGATTGCAGTCCTTCTTCGGTGATCGCGTGATTTCGCGCAGAGGTGCCATGGACACCAAGTTCGTGCGATTTGACTCCCTTGGACTTCTTTTTATGGGGATATTTGAAAAGCAAAGTCTACGTCAACAAACCAGCCACCCTCCAAGAACTCAAAAACAACATCATTGCCGAGATAAATGCCATAGAACCGACCATGTTGCAAAATGTCATTGAAAATTTCGACCATCGCGTGGACGTCTGTAAATCCAGTCGTGGTGAACATTTGAGCGATATTATTTTTCATACATAAATGGTATAAATGAACCTTCAAAATAAAGTACCCAACTTGATTTGAATATCAATCTTTCTTGTTTTAATATGCGTTTACTTTCCTGCGTCCGTTTTGGACAACCCCATAGTATCTAACTAGTGATGATTCAAACTAAATAAAATCTTACTTTCTAGCATTAGCAAATGCAGTAAGTGCCAAATCAATATCAACTGTCATCGGCGGCAACTTATCACTATCACTATCATCTGATTCACCTCCACTGTCAGGTTCTTCATATGGATCTGTTAAATATAAACTAATATGGTTTATCTCAAGTTTCAACTCCTTTATCTTTTGTGCTACAGGGTCTCCTTTTGAGGCAGCTTCTTTTACCATTTCTATGATATTGTCCCAGGGTACCTAATACACAAAAAAAACATGTTTACAGATTTTAGTGTGTTACCATACCAAAGCTATGAATCCGATCAAAACTAGAATAACTCTAAAAATTCGGTACATTAAATGACTGCTCATAGCTCATGTTTCAAAGTGATGATTGACCTAACTTCAAAAGCATGTTTTATAAAGGCTAAAATAATATACCTGATTGGCTAAGATAGTCTGTATAGCCAATATTGCGCTGTCAACCAACTCCTGGTTTCTGGTAATAAGCTCAGCTTTTTGTTTGTCTACATTTTGTGTTTTTTCCAGAGCTACTAAACGTTGGTCATGATCCTTCCTATAAATAAAAATATTTTCATGAGAATTATTCATTGAAATTTTGAAAATTAGTAGTAATAAAAAAGCAAAATCATATTGGAAAACCAGTTTTTAATCTTTAAAAATATTTCAACTTTGAATATCATCTTCTAACTTTTAACACTACTCATAATAATATGATATGAATTGAAAATTGCCTACCTAACATTCTCTAGCTTCTTCATTGCATCCCTCTCTTGCTGAACAGCTTTCAGTTCAATCTTTTGACTCTCTAGTGATGAAAAGAATTCATCAACAGCTTCATTAAATGTTTCATACTCTTTGTGAGGTAGGGAAGCATGTTGCTGAAACAGCATTGGATGGAATTCTTGATTTGAGTAAAACTCTGTTTCCTTATTGGTATCTGTAACAGGACGTTCTTCCTTCTTTTGAATAATATAACCCTGAAAGTCATAATATATTCGATGGTCGAAGAAAACTATTTATGTATAATTTTAAAAAAAATTAATGTAAATATTCTTAAAAATAATACCTTTGAGTGTTCCTTTTTTGCAGCTTGAAGAATATCCTCAGCCTCTTGCAAAGCTTCCATAAGTCTATCAATATCTTCCATAATATTGAATGTTTTACCAATTTTAGTAGCATTAGTAAATCCATGTTTTACGAGTACATGTTCGATAAGAGGTGGACCATATTCTAGAAAACAAATTATTGATTAGAGTCAACATTTATTTAACAGTATTTTATATATGGAAGGATCCCTTATTCATGACAATTTGTGAAATCTGTAATGTAGGTATGTTACTCTTAGTCAAGTTCTGGGCAGACAGATCGTCTAGAGTTAATCTATCAAAGGGCTCTACTGCCTAGGTACTGGAGTATGGAACAATAAAAAATGAAGATAAGAAGAGGAAGAGTATTGATTAGCAAAATAAGAAAAGTGTTTATACAATAGCAGTTTTGCATTAAACGCACCTAAATTAGGTACTAACACCTTCTTCAATGGATCACCAGACTTGGCTTTGTGCAATATTTCTAGCATAGCTTCTTTGGTGACGGCAGTGGTCTCCCTTGCGCGATCTTGAGGATATTTCTCTCTGACTACGAATTTCACTTTGTCACCCTCAGTGTGTGGTCTCAATATGTTGGAAATTGTAAATTCATAATCAGTCAGGATGATGTTTCCTCTATCATAAAGCTCCAATATTATATGATATGCTGCTTCACCACTACCAAACTGGAGATCAACAATCCTGTCTGTGCCTAGTTGCCTTAAGTGCTCAAGGCGTTTATTTTTCAAGTGTTTTCGCATCTAAAATAATATCAATGAGAGTAAAATTATTGTTTTACTTTCATACCTCTGGCGAGGAGGTGTTGTAATCGCGAAAAATTTCGATAAGACTTTTTGGATGTTACATGACATCTACACTCAGGTCCAAAATAAATGAAACAAGCAAAATTTTGGTTAAATGTCATAGGTTTTATTATGTTTAATTAGATTTTGTTGTTTTTTCACTCTGTGGTGTGACTCCAGTTGCCAATCAGACCACAATGCTTCCCATTATTAAAAACCACATTCTTTGTATAATCTGTTTTTATGCACGTCGATATGTACAGTGGTTGAAGTTTAAGAGACAAATTATTGTTTTACAATCAATTTCCCTGCTTCCTCTCATACATTTTTCAAGTCCCGTACAAATTCGGAAAGTTTTCCACCAATTTGTACAGGAATCTATTGCCTTTCTGTGTTAGGTTCATTTTTTTTTTGTCGTCATTGCTTCCGTCTATCTACAGTGGCGAGAAAAAAAGAAAACTTTTGACTTAATTTATGAACATGCCGTACAATAATTTCACGCTCTGCCCTTTTAAAATACAGTATCAGGGCAATAGCCATATCTCATATATCCTCTAATTTTGGGTCCCTGAAGATTCGAGGGAGGATTATTTTTTTAGAGCAGGATGAATCAACACAATTCAAAAATTTTAATCAGTACTATAATTTTCAGAGAGGCGCCTTCTTGTCGTTCTCGAATTGTTGTTACATTAATTTTGCTCCAAAAGAACAACCCTCGAATTTTCGTAAAGTCAAAATTAGAGGACATTTAAGTCAAAATTGCCCACTTTATTTGCTGCTAGATAATGGATATTTGTACAATTTGGAGGAAAACGTTTGGAATTTGTATGACAATTAAAAAAGTTATGGAACGGAGAAGGAAAATTGGTGGTAAAATGTTCTTTTGCCTCTAAAACTACAACCACTATACATATTGACGTGAATAAACAGACAGATTATAGAGAAAATGTGGTTCTCCATAATAGAAGGCATTGTGGTCTGATTGGCAACAGCAGTCACACTGCAGAGTGACTCAAAGTGGGGGTACTGAAACATCATTCTGATTTACCCTGTACCACAAGTCAAACAAAGAACACATATACATATATTAAAGCCAACCAGTGTACCTACCATCTGCCAAAAACAATCAATAAAATCGAGTTGAAAATGTAAAAGTTATGACGTTGCGAATTTGACAAAAATTTTGCTTGTGTATATTTTAAAATTTAAACCATGGAAAATCATGTCACTCATTTCGGTGTCTGTCTGATAATCCTTGGCCCATCTATAACTTGGTAAGAACTGCTCAGATTTTGATCAAATTTTCACGCAAGGATACTATTATGCCAATAACATAATAATATTTGTAGTTTTTGAACATCCCTGCTGAGGTGGTGCTAATATATTTATATGCTTCCAACCCCGGCAATTTTACGCGCCTATTAGTTGGTTAGTGGTTCAGTAATGTTGCCAGATGGTTGATACTTTCAGTAGAGCAGGAAAGAAAGTTCTAAGTAGTGTTACCAAATGGGTGAGGTCTATAGACTAATTGCATGGGCCTGTTTGACTGTACAGATCCAATTATTTTTTTTTGTTACACAGAGGGGTGAACTTCTGCAAACACAATCCCTAATGAAGTGATGACGACATTTCATATAAAGATATACCTGAAACCTTTTTTTTTAGGCAGTTTACTCTGAAAAACTACAACAAGCTTATATGTACATGCACATTAAAAAATCACAAAATAACTGCCAAATAAGAAGTTTTACAATATTAAATTTCAATTTCTTTTCCAAAAAGCAGCATGAACAATAATTAACAGTTAACGCAATATGTAACCTTGTATAAAAAAACCTTGCTGCACAAGTATAGATAATAAGTAGTAGTTAGCTCTATGATAAGATATGAATTTTGTTTCAATGGCTGTACAGAAATTCAGAAGATATGTGGTTTTCAAGACCCATACAGGAATTTTTAGAATAGTGTCTTCATAGTATAAGACACAATATACTGATAAATAGAAAACTTACCTTCATGCTAAATCCAGATGGTGCCACATTTTTTGGCCATTCAAAGTTGGTGGTATGAATACGGTTACCAGATTCTAGCATAAGTACTTGCTTTTCTTCACTGCGTTGGAGCCTGATCAGATAGGTTTTGCTGTCGATATCATAAATATTGTTTACCCGCATACCAACCAATCTGAAATATTAAGATTTGCAACCAAAGGAAAATGAATACAGCTGAAAAAACTTACTTTTGGAGCTCTGCTACCACACATACTATATCGTATGTATTAAATCTTGTCTTCATTTTTTAATCTTGGTTCCTACTTCACTCAACAAGTAATACTTCCCGAAGTTTCACTCTGTCACTGTACGGATTTATATTTCACAATAATATGAAAGCAAAAGCAGCAAATATGGAATTGTTAAAATTGTTTTATCTGTTTTGATTTTCTTTTTCCACTACCACTCTTTGACGTAATGTGTCACGTCGTGTCACAGGCGTCACGAGTCACGTGTGCGCTCCTGTCAATCTGACATGAGGGAAAGATGTATTTTACTCAGTATTTGACGAGTAAAATAAGGAAAGCTCTCATCACTAGTGAAACGCTCGGTGCGTCATCTATACGCAAATAGCTGTTCGTGATCAATATATGGAGCTAATGTGTAGTTTACTGCTGACTGCTTAAATATTCCCAGAGTAGATGCCGCCACAATGTAAAATTTAATTTTCATCCCTTCTTCCTTCTTCCAAAGCTTATTTTCATATTTAGCAGTTGCCAGATGAGGACTTCTTTGCAGTGTTGCAGTTGTGTTGTCCGCTTGGTCGTGAGTGTTGTGGTCGTCTCGTTAGTGCATCGGTTTGCATTTCGGATGAAAAAAATGTGTTGAACGATCCGAATTTCATGAATGAAAACGTTCGCGAAAATGCTCTAGATTACTGCTACAGTGATGGATAGAGTGGATTTTACATCGACCGGTAAGTTCCACAGTCCCTTGCTATAAATGTGTTGCCTGGTAGCCACCCTTCTAGTGAAGGGCGGTATTGACATTTGGGATTTTGCACTGGGGGCTGTTGCCTGTTTTAATTATTAGAATGAAATATTGGCATCGAATGGGGATGTGTTGGTTTGGAGCTTCATTCAAAATTAAAATACAGTGGCAGCAGTCAAGGAGCTTTAGTAGGTTCAGTGGGGACAGTAAAAACATCAGCTTCTATATAGTTCTGACGGGTGTTTTTCGAGGGGGAGGTGCTAAGGGGGTGTAAACAGCTGTCTATAGGTGCAGAAATCTTATTTAATCTGCGATTTGTTTCATTTTGAGTGGAATGGAACTGGAGCTCACAATTATACAAATCATAAATTTTTAGACAAAAATAATGTTTGTGTCTATAGAAGCATATTATTTTCTCTTTTCAATAAAAGAAACCGATTTTAAATTCCAAAAAGGTGCTTAGGGGATGTGCAACAACATAGAAGAAAAAATATTTTTACATAGGTATAATATAATTTTCACACTTCTCACTGTTGCCTGAAATCCGGTCATGGATTTGTTTTTAAAGTTATCATAATGTTTGTGTCGTTTTAAACATTTTTTAATTGCACTTTAACAGAGAATTTTCCGAAAAATTGTTGACTAACCCTTTCTGGGCCTTCATGAACTGTAGGTATTAGAAAACTAATTTTCAACTCATCAGGTAATTTGTATAAAAAACAGAAAAATACAAAAGCTTACTGGCAAGTTTTCCCAAGGCACACTTCTGTTTTTCTTTCCTCATTTCTGTACCCCAGAGCCAGACTCGGGTTAAGTCCATTTTTGGCAAAAATGAGTTTAACATGTTAAGCTTACAATAATATTGTGAGTTTTCATTTGCTACATGCAGCATCCATCTATCTGTAATAATAAGGAAGTGACGACTTTTTAACTCATTTCAAGTCCCATACAATACAATACAAGAAAAATATTTCAAATACAATTCTCTCAGAACCACTTATTTGAACTTAACCTAGTCTGGCTCTGAGGTACAGATTTGTATTGTATTGTATTGTGCATATGCTGGAATTTACGAACTCGTTCAATACATCACGAAAAGCATCGCGAAAATCCCGACAAAAAGCTGCCGATCACGTTGTTTTGTTAGTTTGGTAAATGTTGTGTGTTCGTATTGTCTAACTGCCTGTCTGTTGGCGTTATGTCGTCACAGGATCTAAGTAACTGCTGCGCCGATTTTGATGATTTTTGGTGTTGTATGAAGCAACGCTTCTATAAGAGCTGTTTCTTCGAAAGTTATGAGCAAAAAACAAAGTTTAATGTGCTTCAAAATATCAACGTAAGATTTGGTAAATTGTACCAATTGGCAGATTTCATAGCATAACTTGTTAATTACTTATTTGAGTTGCATATTAATTTAAAGCAAGATTATTTTGCAAGTTACTAATATCAAAATGCACATAAAAAACGCATGTATATGTATATTGAGAGTTGAAAATAATAAGCTTGTTTAAAAGTGTAACCGGTGGAAATTTATTGAACAAGTTCGTCAATTCGTAGGTACCACGCGGTTTGAAAATTGTACCTTATCAAAAAGCATTAGATTTTCCGTGTTAGTGCAACAGATGTATATTAAGATGAATTAAACTCGGATAGCTTACACACAGAGATCATAAAGAAGGAACATAAGTGAGACAAAATATTACTCTAACGAGTTAAGATGTTCGTATAAATTGAAAAGTTCCATTTATCAAACTTAAGCATAAGAAACCGATTTAGAACACATGGGTAAAACAAAAACATCAGAACAAATAACTGACACTGTTTGTTAAAGCACCAACATCACAAATATAGTCCAGTCGACTAGGAAACGAGACACAACTCTCATACATCCAATTTGTGCATTGGTTGTGCCGGACTATATGCTCTACAAGACACTCCCCTATGATGTAACAAATCAAGTAGTGGTACAAACAACTATTGTGCCTGGCACAGTTTGTTGTATTTCTTTTGAAATGTTAAATGTTACGTACTTATAATATTACAAGATAATCTGTAATTAGGATAAATGCCACCCCAACTACCAGAAAGAAATTATTCGGATACAAATGGTTATCTAAGATTGTATAATATTTAATGTATAAACACGTTTTGCAAAAACCAACAATTTTCAACTTTTCCGACGACCGCCGGTTATAAATTTTGGTCAGATATGTTGTCACAATTGACAATTAAATAAATATCGAACAGGTATAATATACCCGACTTTCCCCCAATATGTCCAGAAGGCACTTGCAGTTTTGTTGGCAATTATATGCCTGACACGTGTGAAGCCCAAAAACTACACAAGAAAAGAAGTCTCTATATTGAAATCCACTTGCGATGGTAGTGCAAGCGGGCGGGTCGCCTTTCGTTGAAAAAAAAGGAAGCAGCAGATGTTCAGACACGTGCCAGCTGCGTTGTGGCAAAAGCAGGTAAAAGTACTCCACTCAGGTAGCCGCAAATCATATCGGGATCGAGTGCCTTAAAAGCTTGCTATAAATCTTTTCTAACAGGGATAGCAGAAGGTAATCTTAAGAGCAATTACTAATACATCTTGAAAACTAAATCCGCATTTTGGCAGTACAAGTATCCAAGGCTCTATTAGAAGGACTTGCCCACTGTTCTCGTCCGAACACGCCTATCCATCATGATGCCATAACGCAACGCTGCCAAAACGACCTACGTTGATGCTGGCAAAAAAATATTCAGCGGGACAGTTCAGCATTTTTCTATTGTCGCCTCAAGAGCTGCTCTCCTGTGCCTCGTTTGTGATACTCGGAGTAACTCGGAGCTACCCACCACCTGTCAATACCCTTCCAATGCTCTAGTGTCATGCATCTGAGCTACTCATTTTTGAAATTTCCTGCCCCCTCATGCGCCATCTTTTTATTCGGTGTTATAGGCTCCGAAATAGTGGGGATAATGAAAATGACAATGTTTCAAGATTGTTAGGTTATGTTTTTTCAGCGTTTTTGTTATTTTTCGCATTAAGCTCACATTAAACCGATACCAGACAATAGCGGATGGCTGATAATGCTATGACCCAGAGTCACAACGTATATTTGAGATGTTCCCGAATAATAGAGATCACAAGAAAGTGCAAGATTGCAGGTTTATAGCGGCTTGTAGTTGGCTTATGATAGTCATTATTTAAATGGGTGAATGAGGGAGTTAAACGAATCAAAAAGTTTCATATAACATGGAGGTCAAAACGGCATTTTTTTAGAGAAGAGCGGCTTTAAAGTAAAATAAAATCTGACAACGCCGCAATACCAGACGCAAATTACGACAGAACGCAGTGTAAATAAAAATGGAGTTTGTTATTTTTGGCTTTTAAATATTATTTCATTATTTAATAATGTACTCGTAAAATGCAAACAAAAAAAACGGACTTACCACCTAACTGTCTCAGCGCTTCACCTGGTGTGTGAAAGTTTATTGAACGTATTAAAAAAATCCACTTATAAATATGGAACACAATTTTGATAGATACATTGTTTTTCTTTTTAAAACCCACACTGCACTTTTTTGTATTTAAAGAAGGTGTTCAAAATGTCGTCCTCCACTTTCCACACAAGCTTCATTACGACGAACCCAGTTTTTTTACTCTAGGTCATCAAAGTTGTCGATTTATTATTTCAACCGCATTAAATTTTTTTTCGCGAAGTTGTGCTTCAGTTGTTATTGGACCAGCCCCATAAACCATCCCTGTAAGTTCTCCCCAATACCAGAAATCCATCGGATTGAGGTTAGGAGATCCTCCACCTGATGAGAGTGGTAGAAAATACGTCAAGGTCATATAGCTGACCAATTAAGCTCGAACCTCCCTTTTTCATGTTCACTCAGCTCATGACAATTAAATATACCTACAAAGGAATGTAAAAGTTCATAGGTAATTAAGAGTTTATATACCAAGTGACATATAAATCCGAATACCCAGTTTAAATAGTTTTATTTTAATAAAAGATGGTGAATGTATTTATCTTACTGTAAATAACAAGTGAAAAAATGTTCAGCCTTATCAGTTGGACATTCCGGTTTTTATACTGCTTTTTTTTAATTCACTAACGCTCTAAAAATGAACATTTCAGCCGCAGTAAAGAATCAACGTTGGCGGATTTTGGTTCTTGACATCCTTTACGATTGGTTACGATGCCTAGAGTACGGAGACCTGTACGATTTCGTCAACTTAGTGAGTTTGATAGGGGCCGTATAGTGGGACTTCGGGAAGCTGGACTTTCTTTTCGGGCAATTGCAGTTAGAGTGCAAAGAAGTGTAGACACTGTGGTTAGGTGTTGTCAGACATGGCTTCGAGAAGGCCGTACGCAAAGAGCAAGGGGCACTGGACGCCGCCGTAGAACAACAGACCGTGAAGATCGCCGCCTAAGATTATTGGCCTTAAGGGACCGTTTCTCCACTACCAGGTCCATTGCAAATGAATGATTTGCAGAACACGGAAGACATATTGGCATGCGAAGTGTTTACCGACGAATGAGAAGTTT